CCGTTACCCCTTGTCCTGTCACTACAGGCCTGAGTGCTCCAGCCCTCTGAACATCTTCGTGGCCTCCTCTGGACTCGCTCCAACCGGTCTATATCCTTCTGATGTTGAGGGCCCCAGAGCTGGACACTATACTGCAGGTGGAGTCTCACGAGAGCAGAGGAGAGGGAGAGATCCCCCTCCCTCGCCCTGCTGGCCACAATTCCTTGGATAAAGACCAGGATACAGTTGGCTTTCTGGGCTGCCAGCACACACTGCTGGCTCATGTTGAGCCTTTCATTCACCAGTACCCCAAGTCCTTTTCAGGGCTGCTCTCGATCCATTCTCTGCCCAGCCTGTACTTGTGTTTGGGATTGCCCTGACCCAGGTGCAGGACTTTGAGCTTAGCCTTGTTGAACTTCATGAGGTTGACACAGGCCCAGCTCTCTAGCCTGTCCATGTCCCTCTGGATGGCATGCTATAGGGAAGTCTCAACTGCACCACTCTCTAGCTTGGTAGTATCTGCAAACTTGCTGAGGGTGCACTTGATCCTACTGACTGTGTCATTGATGAAAACATTAAATATTGTTGGTCCCAGTACAGACCCTTGAGGGACACCATTTGTTACTGGTTTTCACTTGGAACTGAGCCATTGAGTGTAACTTTGCATGCAGTTCTTCATCCTTCTACCAGTGCATCCATCAAACCCATATGTTTCCCATGTAGTTGCAAGACTTCTGTCATATCCATATCAAAGGCCTTACAGAAGTCCAAGTAGACGACATCCATGACTCTTCTGTTGTCCACTGATGCACTCACTCCATTGTAGTAGGCCACTAGATTAGTAACGCCAATCTGCTGATTTCAGGAATAATTATCATATTATATAGAGGGCTGGGCAACTTTTTTTCCTCAGTGTTCAGAGAGGAGTTGCAGAAGGTACAAGACCTAGTAGAATCATGTTGGAGGGCAAGTGGAGCCAGAGGGAGCAATACTTAACATGACCTTCTCAGTTTTGGACTCCCGGACTGAGCAATCTGTGAATTGATTAAGCTATTTTGGTGTTTTGTAAGAGGAGAGACCTCACTGTTTTGTTTTAGAGTCCTGTAGGAAATTAGTACATGTGCTTAGTGGGCAAAAGGAGAAAATAGGCCCCCCGGAGCAAAACAGAGTCAATATGAACTGTTAAAAGCCAAGGCACAGTCAGTACTTGTGCTAGAGAAATTGGAGGAGACCAAAATTTTTTAAAAAGTTTGGATGGAAGGCAGCTGTTGGTGATACGGAAATCAAGAGTAACCCTATGTAGTGCATGCCTCAATGACCTTTTGAATATTGATGCAGGTAAAACTCTGGGAAGGAATTAATATCTTCATCCTTAAGAGCCCTTTGATTTTCAGTTCTAGGAGAGTAATGAAAGATAGTGGGTGGGTGGGGTTTTACTTGAGTGGGAGTTTTTTTTGAAGGCATTGTAGTAGGAGGTACTACTATGAGAAAATTCCACTGTCTGAGCTGCTAAAGCCAGTGTAACCAGTGTGTTAATACTTTGAACATGCATCTCAAAGAACTGTTAATAGTAATTGATTTAACTAATAGCTGTTACAAACAATTGTGTTCTAGAAGTCTATCCAGAAGCCAAACTTTATAAGCAAGATTAATTGTTAGAAATGCCTAATTAAAATTCAGATATGTTTGGTAATACTGTGCAGACTCATTTTTAATTTCCTGCTTTTGGATGATCTATGTGCTTAGAATAGTATAAATGTATCATTGTACAAAAAATCCTAAATTCTCACTATCACTTTAAAGAATCAACTACTGACTGATCATGGGCATAATCCACTGATGAAGAAAGTATTTGATGTATACCTCTGCTTCCTTCAAAAGAATCAGTCTGAAACAGCATTGAAAAATGTCTTCATTGCTTTAAGGGCACTTATTTTTAAGGTAAGAAATTTAAAAGTAATTAATCTTCAAGTACTTACCCAGTTCTTTAGTTAATGATATAGTATGTAAAAATTTAAGAACTAAAATCCCAAATCAAAATTGGTGAATAAGGACTGATCCCAACAATGTGGAATACTTGTCCTTTGTATTGCTACAGCAATTGTTCTGTGTCGTAAACTACTACAACTGTCTGGTTTTCCACATTTTGGAAATATTAATATATTGTATTTTTCTCGACACGCTTGTTTTATCAAAAAGTGAAACTAGTTTTAATGAATAACTTTTTTCTTTTATTCTTTTTCCTTAGTTTCCATCTACATTTTATGAGGGTAGAGCTGATATGTGTTCTGCACTGTGCTATGAAATTCTGAAGTATTGTAATTCCAAACTGAGTTCAATTCGTACTGAAGCTTCACAGCTGCTGTACTTCTTAATGAGAAATAACTTTGATTACACGGGGAAGAAGTCTTTTGTTAGGACACACCTGCAAGTTAGTATACTTTATTTTTTTTCTTTTTCAAATATTCTTTTGTTGATGCACAGTTGCGTACCAGTGTGCAAAGCCCTGTGAGATAAAGACATAAAAGAAATTATTTTGGGTTCAAGCAAGGCTGGTGCTATTCTAAGAGTAAGAAGATGGCAGTAAAAGCACATTTGGTACAAGGAGATATTTAGAAACAATTGGATGGCCCTGTGTTTTGTAGGAAATAATTTGTAGTTGTCATTTGCAAATGTTTGGCTCTGTAGATGTTATTTTTATTTTTAAATGTTATACCCTGTTGAGTCTGAAGAAGAAAAGAATGCGGCAACAAGCTGCATTTTCTGTTTAGGCATAAAAGTCTAAAATGAAACAAATATGTAGAAAACTGTGTTCTGGCAAAGCTGGGAACAATAGTTTAATACCTTTATGACCTCTGTCTAGTTCCCCTAGCAGTCAGCCTTTAGATTAATGGATGCATGTACATTAAATTTACACAAGCCTGTTTTTTCTTGCCTTCATTGTGGTACAAGAAACCTAAAAAGAATCGAATATAATTTTACTTAAGGGAATAATCTTTCAATTAAAAAGAAGAAAACTTTCTTTGTAATTGCGTCATAGGTATGTTTCAAGGTTACTTTTGTGAAATATGCACTAACGAGACATTTGTTTCTGTCAAGGTTATTATTTCAGTAAGCCAGTTAATTGCTGATGTGGTTGGAATTGGAGGAACTAGATTTCAGCAGTCTCTTTCCATCATCAATAATTGTGCCAATAACGACAGAATTATAAAGGTCTGGTTTTGTTCTTCTTTCCATACTGTAGAAGGATGCTTGAAAACATAGTCTTTTGCAACTGTATTTCAACTTACTATTATGCAAAGAATAGAAAAAGATAGTAGTTAACCTACCTTTTACATGTTTTAGCACACTACATTCCCTTCTGATGTCAAGGATTTAACAAAACGGATTCGTACAGTCCTGATGGCTACAGCCCAGATGAAGGAGCATGAGAACGATCCGGAAATGCTTGTAGACCTCCAGTACAGTTTGGCCAAGTCTTACGCTAGTACGCCTGAACTAAGGAAGACGTGGTTAGACAGCATGGCAAGGATCCATGTTAAAAATGGAGATCTTTCCGAGGTAAAACTAGTTTGAGCTTCCTAACAAGCTTTAAGCCTATCTGCCTTGAAGTGGAATGTACTATGTATGTACATTGTTGCTAGTGTGTAATATAATAAGCATTTTTAGTAAGTTTTGCATTGTTAGTAGATGAGTTTCGACAGGTAAGTTGGGGTTTTTTTGTCCTACCCAAGTACATCTCTAAGTCATTTCTGATCACTAATCTAAGGTAGGTATGTGTTTAATTACTGTAGCTGACATCCTACTAAGCCAGGAATGTTCAGTGCAAACCATGGTAGACACAGACCACCTACTTAAAAGTATCTTGGTTCATCACTTGCTAAAAACAATTAAAGCCACTCCTTGAATTCCTCTCCAGTTGTCCTTACAGAGTTAGCTTGATTCTGTGCCCAAATGCTTATTAAAATACTCCTAATATTCTTAACTTGGAAAAGAGGCCTTTTTTTTTGTTTGGAAAAAAGAAAGCTATCTGATTTCACCATGCTGTTAAAGTGGTTAATACTAGCCAAAGGGAGAACTGGGAGTGGGGGTTGTTATATATCTTGATACAAGTGTTTTATCAGCATACAGAATGAATTTTGTCTCTTTCTGGAAGTTTGCTCCATCTGAAAGTAAATCACATTGCATCACATCATTGAATTTCATAAATATGTCTGTTAAACTTAGCATGACCTAAGAAAATAAGTGTCTCCAAAATATCTTACTCATGACTTAGTTCTAGAATTCTTTTTTTCTGTATGGTAGCAATGCAGAAGATATATTCAGTACTCTGCTATTAGTTCGTATTTTGAACAACTTCAGCACTCTCAGAAGACAAGTTCTTTTTAGTCCCTTTCAGGTCTATTTTTGATCTTTTGATTAAGAGCTTGGAATCTTGGACTATGCAGCTAGATGAGGACCTCTTTAAATCACCAAGCCCAACCCTATACAAATTATTAACTGGAGAGTGTTTTTGACAGATACTTACCTTTTTCCTTCAACTCCAGTGCCTGAGATTCTGTAGCCTGCGTATGTCAACTGCTCCACTGTGAATTACCATTAGAATTAAGTTTGCTGTAAGCCTAAACTTTTTTAATAAGAGTCTTGAATCTTTTTTAGTCCTTTCTGTGGAGAAAAGTGATCAGTGTCAACTTCATAAAACATTTCAAATATTTGAAGACTACTCTGTCCCTTTTAATTTTCTTCTGTTTTCCAGACTAGACCAACCAAATTCCTTCAAATTTCATTCATAGGTCAGAACTCTCCTCTTTTGCTGCTTTCAAATGGTCTGTCACTGGTGTTTTCTTCATTTTTCTTGGTCTGGAGCCAAAAAGGGCAACAAAGTGGTTAGCAGAAAAAACAGCAAATGTTGAATAGAATCATTAATAGCTCTTTTGAATCACATCACACTTAAAAGACATCCCCAAAAGAGATTTACCTAGTTTTATTTCAGTATGGCATTCTTACTTTGTAATTTGTGATCCATGGTCACTCTCAGATTGTGCACTGCTGTCCACACCCCTCAGTGGTGAAACTCTTGCACAGTTTGTTTTGCATAAAGGAGGTGGAGAATTCTCACGCTGGTCATAGAACGTCTCCTGCAAAGCAGCAAAAAGGAAGACCACAGAAATTATCTCAGGCTAGGGCTTTTGTTATATACCTTCTTTTCAGTAGTTCCATTATAATTGTAATTAATAAGATCGTTGCTATTTCTGTTTTAGGCAGCCATGTGCTATGTCCACGTAGCAGCGCTGGTTGCAGAATACCTCACACGAAAAGGTATGATTTTTGAAATCTTACTTCAAGGTTTATAGTTTTTTCAGTGTAGTTAGGAAAATATGACACAGCGGTTTAAGATAAACTAGAACATTCAAACATGCCTTATTTTGATGGACAAGAGTGGACCTTTACATTTGTGGTGTTTTTAAAACCTATTTATACTTAAACAGTAAGGTGAGCTCTAGTATTTCATTCACGCAGTGGGGGGCTGGATTATTTTCTTTTTATTAATTTTGCAATAAGTACATTTAAATATGGCTTACACATTATCCATCATCACAAAACAGCTTAATGTTATCCTGGTACAGAAAAGTGAATTTGCCGTTTTTTATTCTCCAATGACAGGGATGTTCAGGCAAGGTTGTACTGCCTTCAGAGTAATCACACCTAATATAGATGAAGAAGCTTCAATGATGGAGGATGTTGGAATGCAAGATGTTCACTTCAATGAAGTAAGTAAATATGAGTGTTAAATTGATGCACATTGTTTTTCCAAGTTTTGTGTTTCAGTCCTGAGGCTGACTGCCATATTGCATGTTATTGTTTTCTTAGCCGCTATTTTTATTTTAAAACCAAAATAAAAAAATTCTGTGAGCTGCCACAGCTTTAGAGAACTTACTATGTACATATATTTCAAAGAAAGCACTAGCACATCAGCACAACTGCACTGTTGTAATAAAAATAAGCAAAAGGGTCTTTTCAGCTGGTTAACAGGATGAATACTAGTGTGGGCTGCAACACCTCTGCTATGGGGACAGGCTGAATGCACTAGGGCTGTTCAGCCTGGAGAAGAGAAGGCTCCGGGGAGACCTTATAGCACCTTCCAGTACCTGAAGGGGCTACAAGGAAGCTGGGGGGGGCTTTTTACAAGGGCCTGTAGTGACAGGACAAGGGGGAACGGGTTTAGATTGAAAGTGGGGAGGCTTAGATTGGACATCAGGAAGAAATTCTTCCCGGAGAGGGTGGTGAGGCACTGGAACAGGTTGCCCAGAGAAGTTGTGGATGCCCCATCCCTGGAAGTGTTCAAGGCCAGGCTGGATGAGGCTTGGAGCAACCTGGTCTAGTGGAAGGTGTCCCTGCCCATGGCAGGGGGGGTGGAACTAGATGATCTTTAAGGTCCCTTCCAATCCCAACCATTCTGTGATTCTATGAATCTTTCTCAGAAAGAGCTATATATTCACTACGTATTTGCCAGGATAAGGTGCGGAAGGGAGGGACAGACCACCACTTGCAGTAGCTGTGTGGAAGAAATTCCTGGTGTGTAAGCATGATTGTACAACAAAAAATAGTTTAGTCTGTATATGGTAAAAGTGTATGACAAAGTTATTTATGCAATGACACTGCAAATTGGATCCATACTAACAGATCTAGGAGGAATAGATGAAAGATTTAGTTGTTTGAGCCTGGGTTTAGAGCTAGGACACCACCTGTGTTTTACTCTGAAGTTCTGCTACTCCTTTGCTCTATTGTTTTAAGATCAAAAATTACTTGCCTTTTTCTGGGAAGGCAGGAATTGGAATTACTTAAAATGAGAAATACAGTGATTTTCATTTCCTATGATACCCAACAGCAGATTGCTTTTGTAGAAAATCTGTGCTATGCTCTTTAAAATCCAGGATTCCCTTTTTGCAGTATGGAATTCAGCATGTTACTTAAAGCAAAACCTAAGCTGCTCTGAGGCACGAGTTGGGTTTCTAGTGACTGCTATTGATGGAGATTTATTAGAAACGCTTGTCAGTATCTACCTGACAAATTATTTGTCAGACCTAAATTCTTTAGTATTTTTTAAATTGGAATATCTTTGTTCTTTTTCTGATACTCTCTACAAAAAGAATATACTGCTTTTTCTGGGTCATTGAACCCTGCCCAAATTTATTTCCATCTCTCAGTGTTTCCATGGAATGAAAGTAAGCCAAGAGTGAAATTATAAGTCTGCGGAGCTTGCAAAGGGATCAAACCTTGCCAAATTTCGTTTTTGTCTGCATGCAACCCCTTTTAAACTTAATCATGTAGAAATCTAACTGGTCAAATATTGAAAAGAGTTACTATTTTTTACATAATTTCTTATAGTTCACCCCAGGAAGAATAATAATAATAGGAAAGAACTTTTGATAGATAAGAAATCATGGATAAATTAGGATTACAAGTATTGTACAGAAGTACTTCAAAAGAGGTAGTCTAGATGCTTTAAAAACAGGAACATATTAATATATGAAATGTTTCTTTAGTATGTTCTTGTGTAAGCAAAATTGTACTAGTCTAAAAAAAAATCATATGACAGGTTGGTTGGGTACAGAAATCAGAAAGCAGAAACATATCTTTCAGGCTGTAGTTTACTAATACTGGGCAAAACAATGCTCTGATGGGAATTCTCCCTGCACCCACTAACAAGGCTTCTGGGGAATTTCTTTCTTAATACTTGTGATTCCCCTGGGTGCTGGTTACTTTAGACTTAACTCTCCAAAAAAGTAATTACAAGTATACAGGGGTTGGGGGGAAATCTGTCCATGTTTTTAAAAGGCCAGGTCTTCTCTTCTCCAGGCAGAACAGGCCCAGCTCTTTCAGCCTTTCTTCATAAGAGAGGTGCTCCATTCCCTTGGTCATCCTCATACCCCTCCGCTGGACTCCCTCCAGTAGTCCCCTGTCTTTCTTGAACTGGTGAGCCCAGAACCGGATACAGTACTCCAGATGTGGACTCATCAGCCCAGAGTAGAGAGGGAGGATAACCTCCCTCAACCTGCTGGTAGATTCACTGTGTCAAATTCAATATATTAAAGCACTTTATAAAAAATAGAAATAGGTACTTACCCAAACATACAAGATACAGTAAATATGGTGGTGAAGGCTGATATTCTTAGGGATACTCAGGCTAATATTGTGTAGTATCTTCATTAGCTATCTAGGTCATGGGATGCAGCATGTCATCAAGTTTGTGGATGAAACTACATGGAGGGGAAGTGACTGACATGCTGAGGAGCCGGGCTTTGATTTAGAGGGACCTCAGAATGGAAGAACACCGAAGCCTCTCAAAGTTCTACAATCACAAAGTCTTGCATCTGTAAAAAAAAAAAAAAAAATCTCTTGGTGTCTCAGTATGGGCTGTGGACAGATTTACTGGGCAGCAGCTCTGCAGAAAGACCTGGGGGTTCTGGTGGACGAGACGCTGAATGGGAATCAGCAGTGTAGCCTTGTGGCAACAGAGGCCAACTGTGTGCTGAGTTGTGTTAGAAAAAACATAGAGTCAAGAAGTGGAGGAAAGTGGGTTTCCCCTCCCCCCTCCTTGGCATTTGTGGCACCCCATCAGTAATCTTGTGCCCAGTGCTGCTTCCCCAAAGTCAAGGGAGGTCTCAACAAATTGGAAAAAGTCCCGATGTTAAGGTGGTTAGGGCAAGAGCCAGACTCTCCTAAGAGGTGTACAATAAAAGAGGCTGTTCTTAGAGGTAACAGGGGGAACTCTGAATATATGGGAAAAAAAAACCCTTCCCGTGAAGATGGATAAGCATTGAGACAGGTGTCCCAGAAATTTTGTGGTGTTGTCCTCCCTCCTATCAGCTCTCCCACATGAAACTTTTGCTTTTTATATTTTTCCCCTGTGTGCAAACCAAATTTTGCTGATTTGCTGCGTTTGGGTGCCCTCTGGTGTCCGATTTAAGATTCTTGTAAAACGGTGGTGGTGGACAGCACCGATCTTTGTTCTTACCACCTAGTTCCTGAGGATGGAGTACTGGGAAGCCTATACAGCCCCATAACGACTGGGGGAAAGGAGGAGGAGTTTTAAGGATTGTTGCAGCACATGGATAAGGGTAGCATTTTTCAGTCTTTTTTCTTTGCTCTCAGTATTAAAGCTGGATTGCTCAGTGATGTCTTTATGCTGTCTTCGTCCTCTGTTAAAGGGAGGACGGGAACTAGGGTAGCATTGGATCCCTTCTGAGGATAAAAAGAGTTATTTCCAGCTTCTGGCTTCACCACTGTGATGCAAGAGTGGCACCAGGAGGCCTCAAGAAGTAGAAATGTTATCTTCTTTCACCTCTCTTGAATTCTTGTGGAGGTTCAGAAATGTGCCAGGGTATGTTGATGGGAATGGGCTCTTTACAGGGCTTTTGTCATGCTCAGGCTGTGACCAAGTATATGACATCTTCATCACAGGAGCTGTAAGCTGTTCCTTAATATCTGTAACTTTGTTATAACTTAGTTAACGGAATTAGCCAGGTAATTTTGAATTTATGAAAAATAGAGCAAAGTAATAATGTTATCTTAGTTTTGTTATGCTTATGGAATTAGAAATTAAGTCCAAGAAAAATAAAGTATTATGACAAACTGAAGGAATGAGCTTCATAATTATGATGTGTGACTGCTCTAATGAAAAGTGCATGCTTCTATTTTAACGTACAGGTAGGCATAGTTGTTCTTCAGTCTTAAATAACTATCTTTTTGCTACCAGGGTATTAGGATCAAACCCAACAAAGCCAAGGTGATTTCTTGCTTGTGACTGTTTTGACCCTTCAGGATTTCTCAGCTTCTCTAACTGTTGTTATATGTCTCTTCATTCTGGACCAGTATACCAAATTCAACTGTTGTACCTTGATCATTACTTCTGAGTACAGATTTTGGTATTGTATTTTTTGGTTTATTGTTTAATTTATTTGATAGTTTCCTTCAGAACCATTACATTCAAATTACATTCAAGTGTTGGTACAGCTGTGCTTTTAAAATTTATGTCGTTTGTGCAAAACAAACAAACACAAAACTGAAAGGAACAACACTTGAGAAAACACGTTACCAGGTAAGACAAGTTTGGGTCCTCGCATAGGTGTCATTTGTAGACCTGACAGGTCAGGAGTGTCTAAAAGAAAAAAGCTGTTCCTGGTAAATACGAAAAGTACATTTACTCAGTATTCAGACCATTCTGTTCTAAATGTTTCTTTTTAGCTATTTTTGATTGCCGCAATAATTTAAATTACAACATTTAGACGATTTTGTTTTGAGGCAGGATTTCCCTTTTAATTGAAAAGGACTTTGCCGTTGTTTTCATGAGTAGCTAATTGTTTCACTTTTTCAAATGTGTATCCAAATCTAGGATGTGCTGATGGAATTGTTGGAGCAGTGTGCTGATGGACTCTGGAAGGCAGAACGCTATGAACTCATCGCTGACATATATAAACTTATAATACCCATTTATGAAAAACGGAGAGATTTTGAGGTACTAAATTCATCCTAAGTAAATTTGAGCAAGAAAAACAATCCTAATTTTTCTAGGCTAACTGCATGACACATTGCACGTAACAGGATTATTAAAGTTGTAGCTGAAATGTCAGTGTGTTGAGTATTTTTATTTAATGTTAAATAAAAATGCTTTTCTTTAATTATTTATATTTATTTAATCTTGCATACTGTCATTCTGATACAAGTGCTAAACCTATTACTACTTTTCAATAAAACACTGGGTTTTACTACCGTTCAATAAAACAGTGTTTTTTAGTTATGAAGTACAAGGACATCATTCATTGGGATTTTTTTAAGATAGGAAAGCTCTACATCATTCTTTTATCCCATGGTTGTTTTCTTTTCTTTTTAGAGGCTTGCTCATTTATATGACACTCTTCATCGAGCGTACAGTAAAGTAACAGAAGTTATGCATACAGGCAAGAGACTGCTGGGAACTTATTTCAGGGTAGCGTTCTTTGGGCAGGTGAGCATTATTTAACTTTGTCTGCTCTGTGCAGTAAGAAAAACCTGAACTTGTTTTACAAGGTATACTATTTCATCCTCTATATTGATACTGTGACATAAAAAGCGCAAGAAATGTGGTCTGTGAGCAATAATTTAGCACCATCAATAATTTAGTTTAAAACATGTATCAGTTCTGATACAATTCTTTCTTGTTTTCCTCAGTAAATTTTTTGCCTTTTTTTCTTTTTCTTCTTTTATTTACTCCCTTAAGGCAGCGGTAAGTTTTCTATAATGTCAGTTCTCAGCGCAGTGTATTGACTTAATGTCTGTAGTGCTGCAGTGTGGTTTGCAAGGCTGCTTCTTAGATTGGTGTGCATTAATAGCCATTGCAGTTCAAGAAGTAATATTAAGTTCCTTTTAGAGAGCAACTCACTCTTTTCTATGCATCACTATTGCATGCTTGGAACAAAAGCCCTGGCTGTGTATTGGACAGCTTCACATCCTCTAATTAATCTCTATGTCTAGAGTGCATCTGTATCCGTATGGTGTCACGCAGTATCAAGTAATACACTTCCTACATGCATAGCCCAGTTGCTAATTGTTCAGCTGAGCATGGAGAATTGCAAAGTACTCTGAGCAGTATAATTTCACATGTATTCTGTTGTCTTTTATAACTTTATAGCAATACCAGTTTACAGACAGTGAAACAGATGTTGAGGTAATTACAGTAACTGCTTAAAAAGCAAGCAATGCAGTAAAAACTACTGCATTTCACCGTAGTTTGATGTGGGTATTTTTGTCAATCTAGCCTGTGTTTATACATGATATGTTGTGCTTTTCTCTTTTGTCTGTTTTGTTTCTGACAAAAATATTTATTTTCTGATTTCAAACATGAGCTCAGACATGGCTTGTTGTCTTAAACCAATGACCTGTTTCACTTCCCATGTACTCTGTTGCATTTAGTTGTGGTTTTAAAACAAAGGCTTTATGTAATAAAAAATAAGTATATGCCAATATAGCACAACATAAAACTAATTTTTTTTTTAACATGAATTAAATTTCATTTCTGGAATTAATTTTTTATTACTACACAAAGAATTTTTTCAGATTATTTTTATGTAAACTGTTGCCAAAATTCTCACTTGTGAATCAGGTAGTCCTGTTGGGCAATAAGAATTCTATTTTGGCAAGTGAAACAGTGCTGAAAGTTCACTTTTCAATAAAAGTGAAGAAATGTTATCTCAAAGGCTTGACGCACCATAAAATTTAAACAAACCTTTACATTTTTAACTGTTTCCATTATCTTTCACTCATTCTGTAGTAGATAATTACATTTTTCTTGGGTTTTTTTAATCCTCTTAGGAAACCTTTTTTACTTAGACTTTAATTTCTATTTATTTGTGTTTGCTTGAATCCTGATGTTAAATGTTTGTATTTGCTTTGAACCACACACGTTACGTTCATCTTAATCATTGCCCTATGTGGTTTTTTCCAAGATTTTGATTACTTCATTTTTTACAGGGATTCTTTGAGGATGAAGATGGAAAGGAATATATCTATAAAGAACCTAAACTCACACCTCTCTCAGAAATCTCCCAAAGACTCCAGAAACTCTACTCTGACAAATTTGGATCTGAAAATGTCAAAATGATTCAGGATTCTGGCAAAGTATGATCTTTATTCTCTCTAAAAAATTCTAATATATTACTTCTGCTAATCCACTTGAAATACTGTGGGATCACTGTCTATTACTCATCTGGGACACAACTTTGTGTCTAAAAACTCCACTGGTTTAAGGGCTTGAGAGAAATACAGTTTTCTATTAATTTTAATAAAAACATTAATTTCCACAGTGTTACTTCTCCAAAATAATGATTTTTATCTTAGAACAAATTTAGGTAATGATCATATCCTGTGTTATCTTTAGCTGTATTTCTTGCCAATTCATGCACAGTCATTCTCTGGAAGTTCTTCCCTTTTCTGCACCTCAAGAGCAGAAAAGAAACTTTCTCCTGAATTAAGAAACAGACCCTTCTCTCAGAAAAGTACCATTTGTAAATAACATTGTAGTTCTGTACCTGGTGTTCTTGTTATCCTTTGCCTATGTCTCTGAGCCTGTTCAGCACTTAAACTGTAGAAAAAACTGCTCATAAATCTAGATATGTCATGGGAAAACTTTCCTTTGTAATTGAAGGCTTCAAAGTTGCTGCACTGAAGGGGGTTACAGTAGCCCATACGCTGAGAACACACACTGCACAAGATGCCTTTCTGCACTCCTTTTGTTCACTTCCTCAGCCAATTTTTAACTTTAGGATTCAGACTTTATGCTGACTTTTCTCTTATTATAATTTCCTGTGTCGTCTATTCCTCAATTCCACATGTAAGATCACGAAGTTCTGTGCTTCTCAGCCTGAAAGTGTAGCAATGGTGGACTTCTCAATACTGGAACCTTAAAAGGAGAGGAGGACTTACGCAAGGGCTAGATTTCATGCCATGGAAGGGATTTATATTGTGATCTCAGTTTTTCACAGCTCCTCCAGTATACTCTCCTGGATTCTTTACAGTTAATCATAATGTGTGTGTTTGTCAGCATTGGTAGGGAATGTTTTCGATCAACAGTATCAGAATGAGTATATAAATTGCCACTTCAGTTCCAGTCCAATAATCTTGAAAACATTGCAGGTTTTGGTGTGGGTTTTTTCCTAAAAAAAGGCAACCACAAAAAAAACCCACAACAACAAAACAAGCAGCATGTTCCAATAAAAATGGATAACCGCAGGGAGACCTTTAGCTCTTTTCCCAGTGTGCTCCAGGACTTACCTGGTGACTTCACGTGTATGTTTGCATTGCTGTTTTACCCACTTAGTTTATAGTAGTCAAATGACTCAGAGACAGGCAGAGATAACATGAATATTGAACGTGGGACTAAAATGGTAGACAACAACTTTTAGAATAATGCACAGGTTTAGGAATGCCCTCTTTATCCTCTGGTTGGGGGAATTTACCCAAAACAAAAAAATCCTTGGCCAGTTAGGGACCTTGTTGGGCAAAGACTTAGGAGGCCTTACCTGTTGGTACTGGAGACTAGTTGCTGCTCTTACCAAAGTAAAGATCTGCCAGGCCATGAGGCTCTTACTCATCCAGTTCTAGAAAAAAAATGAACTGAATAATGAAGCCTTCAGTTTGCCCTGCTCCCACCACTATGTTCTTTGGGACCCTTATAGGGTGTCAGTGTTGAGACAGGTTGGGAGGAGTGCTTTCTCAAGGTGATAGCTGAACTATTTACAACATAGGGTTTTCTTTTTAATGATTAACTTTTTTTATCACTAGCAATTTTTGGTCTCTAACGCACTGTTATATCAGCTGTCATGGAGGCAAGTATTTATTTCTGGGTTTTCTGTATCTGTGCCTTCCAGTGTTAATCATAGGTATAACTCTGTATGATGTTTTTGTTTACAGTTCTGCGTGTAGTAGTTACCGATAATGAGAGTTTAAAAAAAAATCCAAACACGCAACCCACATGTTGTAATGCATCTAGATCTGTTGTCTCCCTGATAGAAACTGAATGCAGAGAAGCCCCATGAGAACTTTAACATTTCCTGTGTTTTCAGTGATTTGCAGGTTGAGAGACCAAATTTAATTTCTGCAAGTTGTGTGATTACAATTAAATCCACTTTATTCACAATATAACTATTTGGGGTTTTTTGTTGTGTTTTTAAGGTAAATCCTAAGGATTTAGATTCAAAATATGCATATATTCAAGTTACACATGTAATTCCATACTTTGAAGAAAAAGAGTTGCAAGAAAGAAAAACAGATTTTGAAAGGACTCATAACATTCGTCGCTTTATGTTTGAGATGCCTTTTACTCAAGCTGGTAAAAGACAAGGAGGAGTAGAAGAACAGTGTAAGCGACGGACTATTTTGACAGGTACTGATTGAATGCACATCTCCTTTAAGAGAAAACTGCTCTTTTGGTTTTTGTACTTAATTCTTGATGCTAGGTTTTTCTATATGTTGTGTATTTTGTCAGGAAAAATTCCTGTAGAAGATTTCACACATGACTGTTGGAGGTGACAAGAATTGCCAAGTATACTGAAATACTGTTAGACAAAACAGCCTTTTAAGACTGAGTATTGTTTTCAAGCATGTACTAAAAATGTAACATTCAGGCACTTACCAAGGAGCATCTTAGAACATATATATCGTCGTGTGGTTTCTTAACCCTTAAGTATTGGAAAAAGGGAGTAAAATCTCATATTTGACTGTTTTAACTACCCTTCACTTTTAAGTGATTTTGGGGTTTTTAAGTCATGGAACGTCTGCATCTTTCCCAGGGGGTATTGTGCTTGCTGGTTTGGATATGGGAGTTTTCAGCATTCTTTCAGTCTTTGGACCTGTTAAATGCAGCATTGGTTCTTTTGGCTAAAAGCAGCTAAAAGAACCTGAAGGCAGGTTCTGGTTTGATTTCCAGCCTCCCTTCCTTTGGGACTTTGGACTAATCACTCTGCTTTAGTTTCTCATTTGTTAGCTTTAGAAGGTAGAGAGAGTGCCCATCTATCTCTCCATAGCCTCAAACTTCAAGCATGCTTTGTTCAGCAATACAAAACATTTTATTATACTTTCAAGGGAGATCATTAAAATTTATGTTGCATGTGGTGATGTTTCTGTATAACATGTTATTTCACAAAGTCAGATTTACAAGTTGTACTTTTGCTAGAATGGGGACCATTAGCTCAAATTGTCCAATTCAGTTCTGTTTGGGTTTTTCCATTCCACCTACTTAGGCCTTTATGGCTATCAGCTAAAATACTTTTCATATTTTCAGTGAAAACTGGGCTTTCAGTTTGGTTTCTTCAAGGGATAACCCTCCAATGGGGTTTTTTTTGTCTTTTTTTCCTTAAGCTTCAAGGATTCTGAATCTGTAGTCTAGTTTTCCTTGTCTTAGAAAAAAGACTATTATGGCTTAGTCTCTGTTAAGTGTGAGCTTCCATGTCACTGTCTTAATATAGTGGTAAAAACAACTTAAATGACTTTATAATGTCAGCTCTGCATAGCTAATACTTGTGAGCAAAGAGAAAATGCAGCCTTGATATTTTTTATTCTTCTCCTCTTTGAGATGTGTGGATGATAAACAGGTTTTTTTACAGGTCTCATATGACCTAGGTCTCAATGGATCGTTTCTTGGTTGTTATTGGTAGAATTAATGACAATGATCTTTCTTTGTCATTTTCTTTGTATGCATATCTACATTTTCAATATTCTGTTTCCCTGTATATTTGACAGTATTTCTAATTATATAGTATGTTATTAAATCAGGCAACTGATGTCAAAATGATATTTTTTAGCATAACATTCAATCAAAACACACCTTACTCAAACCCCTTTTTCTAACTGTATTAACCTTGTTTCCGTCTGTAGCCATACATTGCTTCCCATACGTGAAAAAGCGCATTCCGGTAATGTACCAGCACCACACTGATTTAAACCCAATTGAAGTAGCCATTGATGAAATGAGTAAAAAAGTTGCAGAACTTAGGCAGCTTTGCTCTTCAGCTGAAGTAGATATGATCAAATTGCAACTGAAGCTACAAGGAAGTGTCAGTGTTCAGGTAAGACCATATACTTTGCCATTCAGCTATTTCACTTTCTTCTGTCCCTGAAGAAGTATAAAAGTAACATTAGCCATTAGTTTCTATTCTGTGTATTCAACAGTGTGCAGAACTAGAAATAAGCTTGCTGTTCGCAGTTATTTCCAGAACAGGAAGAGCAGTAAAAGTATTCCGTGTAAGCACTGGGAGTGGACAGTGACATGAAAGGATTTGGATTCATCTCTGGAACCTATGGTGGTCTGAGTCCCACCAGATTTTGGTGTAAAGCTGAAACTACCACAAAATAGTGGCTTCCCCTAGGTGGAAGAATGAACATGGGTTTTTTTCGGTGTTGGGGCCTGTGCTGTTT